AGTTATTATTTTTTTATTTAGAAATTTAAAATTCAGAAAAGATGCATGATTAGACCAAGGTCACATAGCTAGTGGCAAGGTTGAGATGCTACTTTGAGTCAGTTTGACCATTAATAAGACCAGACAGCACACGAACATGAAGAGAGGTCACTTTTAAAAAGATGTTAAAACCTTGAGTGTTTTTGATGTCTCACCCAGACCCTTTGCTGAGTAATAAGGATTTTGTGCCTCTTACCACCACTGCAGTTTTTCATCTGAAGAAATTAGATATTTCTTATTCCTTCCCCTACACTGGCAAAGTCATGCAGACTTATTGATATTTGTGTTTGACAAGATGGCAATTTAAATTCTTCTGTCAGTTAGAGCTCATCCACCAGTCACCAAGTAGAACAAAATGTGCAGTGACATGGAGAACAGGGTAACAATGACGCTTGTGAAACTGAGACAACCACAAATGATTCGTTGAGTTTCTATCATTTTCAGAAATGCAAAGACAGAAGCAACTTGGCTTTTAAGGCAAAACATACAGGATAATTGTGGCTCCATAAATAATTGTCACCCTAAGGTCTTCAGGGTGGTGAGATCACACTGTGATTTCAAAATTGCAACTTAGATCCCAATCATAACCTGCATAACTGTAGAGTCCTCACCACTTTTCCCATTGTCTTCTTTGTCTGGTCTCCTGGATTTCTCATGGTGGGATGAGGTGGCGGGGGGTTCTCACATGGACTCATCATGTCAGGCTAGGTTTCAACTCACAATGCTTTGTGGAATCTCCCTTAATTTCTTTCAGTATTTCCTTTGGGTTATTATTTCTGTCATTGCTTCTTCTCTGAGCCTAAGCTCTTGACTTCAGCATCCTCTAGGCTCTGACCATACCATTGTTGTAGCTTCTCTGTGTGTGAGTCACATGACCTGCCACTAAGGTTCTTTTTTTTTCTCATCATCACTGAATAAATTTTTGGATGAATCCTTTCATCTAAGCCAGGCGACCCCAAACTACAGCCCGCGGGCTGCATGCGCCCCCCTGAGGCCATTTATCTGGCCCACCCGCCGCACTTCAGGAAGGGGCACCTCTTTCATTGGTGGTCAGTGAGAGGAGCACAGTATGTGGTGGTCCTCCAACGGTCTGAGGGACAGTGAACTGGCCCCCTGAGCCCTCATTGATCCTGGTAGCTAAAAGAACCAACCTGAGGTTCTTGGATTACTGTGGGCTGGAGGAAAAGAAAGTGAAATAATGGATTCTGTCACTTAATTAGATCCAATAGATTGCACGCACTGAGGAGGATTCCATGGCATTGCTGCTTGAGCCCCGTTTTTGCCATCCTTTGGTTTATATGCAGCTCTTTTTTACTGGCCAGAGAGGCTTGTTCAGACTGATTTAAGAAACAGTCTTCACACTGCACAGAGACAGGTGAAATGGCCTTGATTTCATGGAGACAGGCAAAGATGAGCAGGGCCACCTCCAGCTAAGTACAGTGGCAGAGCAAGTAATGGCAGAAGCCCTAGTTTGGTGGAGCCCCAGCTTCTTACAAATAACAAATAAAGTCTGTATTTATTATTTTCTTGCTAAGGAATGGTAAGAAGAAATTGGACTGACCTTTTGCTGTAGGAGTGGTAAGAAGAAATTGGACTGACCTCTATTGCTGTAGATCAGAGGCAATAACAATAGCTAGGAGAAGAGGATGTCCAGGAACACTGGACAGCCCTTAGATTCTCTCTCTTCCACATGATTATGGGGTTCTTAGAGTGATCATGGAAGGGAGGAAGAGAAAGTAAAGAAAGACATTTTTGAAATAGGTACTATGTATTCTTAGAGTCTTTTTTTTTTTTGAAGTTTTTAATACTTTTACTTGGAAACTTAGAGCCAACTCCAGTTCTTCTGTCAATTCTTGTTGAGTTTACAGTGGCTATGGGGGCAGGGCCTATTTTTTGTTTTGTTTTGTTTTGTTTGGTTCTGTTCATCTGTTTGTTAACAGGTGCAAGTCCAAAGCAAAAATAATTGATCAGTTGACCAATGGTCAGTTGCATGCCTCCAAGGCAGGAGCTCCTCCACCCACTCCACCACCCCAGCTGGGGTGGGGATCAGAGTGTTTGCAATTATGAAGGAAGGAAGGGGTTCTGAGGACAGCATGCTTGGCTGAAAGCCCACCTGGCTGGGAGTCTTTCTTTCTCTTCAATAAATTCACACCATGGGTTCTGCAGACATTGTTAGCATTGACCTGTTAATGGAATGAGGCCCCCAGCTGAGAAAGCAAGCTGGCATCCTGGAGGAGGAGACTTCTACTGCAAGGCCTGGATGACAAAGAGCTGGTGAAGCCATGGACAAGCAGAGAAGGAGCAAGAAGAGGATGCCAGGCAGAGGGAACAACTTGAGCAAAGACCTGGCACTTATGGGCTCACTGTTAATATTAAAAAGAATTTGCACTCAAACTGTTGAACCAGGTCCTATCAAGTGTTCAGGCAATTCTCCCATAGGGCCTTTGAAGTTTTCAGTTGACCTCCCTATTGTTCAACCATCTGCTATTCTATGTCAGAATCCCATTTCTGGGCAGGGCTTAGATTTTCCTTCTGTCTCAAGACTTCTTGGCACCTGTTACATCAGTGGATACAAACAAAGTTAGGGAGAGGTTGCAAATAGGGCCTGAGGCTATATATAGTTCAGACAGGGCTTAGCAGGTAGGACCTTGAGGTTAGCTTCGCAGCCAGTATTTTTGGGAACATGCTTGCATATTGTACACATTTGATGTTCCTATCCATGTAATAATTCATTCAGTATATTAAGAAAAAATGGCAGTGCTATTTTTTTTTCCTTTTTTCCTTTTCTTTTCTTTTCTTTTTTTTTAGTGAAGGAGACTGAGGCTAAGAAGGCCTGGATGTCTTGCATGAGATTATGCAAGTAAAGGTTGCTAAGCCAGGGTTTGAGCTCAGGTCTTTTGACTCAAATCTGGTGCTGCTTCCAGAACTGTGGGCTACTTCTCAGGATCAGAACCAGCCCTTATCAAAACCATGAAGTTGATGGAGTTGTCTTTGGGCTTTCACTGTTATTCCCTTTACCTTTTACTCTCACCCAGGGGCAGAGATCCAACTTGTGCTTTCTGTTAAGTCTCTTAGCTCTCACATGTGATGAAACAGAAAAATGACTTGGGCTTTGGAATCAGTTCTGACACAAGCAGGGCTGGCTTTATGGGCTTACAAGTCATGCACTTGCCCAGGATCCTGCCCTTAGAAGGATTTGTACTTGGCTTAATGCTCTGCTATCTCCGTTCTGAAATTCTTCATAATCTGTTGAACACAAGGTCCTGCATTTTTATGTTACTCTGGACTCTGTAAGTGAATTAGCTGGTTCTGCTAATAAGCTTAGGAGTTTGATTATGTTTCTTATCTGGATCTCAGTTTTCACCTCTGTAAATTAGAACCAATACAGTTATTATATCTCAAAGCATTCTTAAGAAGAATAAATCAGATACAATAGAAAATTTCCTAACAAACTTTTGTACATGCGTGATTCTCACTAAATCTTAACCTATTTACATGTAATCTAGCATGGAAACCTCTTTACTAATGCCCTACCTACTAGGTGAGCACTAAAACATTGGTCATATCTATGCAGAGCTTAGTTTTCTGCAAGAGAAGATGGTTATTTAGATTTTGCTGTGGTGAGAGCAGATTAAATAACAAGGGGATTTAATGCATCATGCATCAGTTACTAGTTTGAACAAATGTGTAGACTTGGTAAGCAGGATGATGAGGAAAACAAATGCTGCAGCAGAAACACTGGCTGAGAAATCAGACAGTTCCCATGACTCCCCAGCCAATACCAGGAGCACTCGTACTTCTCAAAGCAGCATTGAACTTGCTCAGCTATGGCTGGCCCAAGGTAAACAATCAAAACAAAACAAAACAAAACAAAGCAACAAACTAGAAAACCAATGTAAAGAAGAGAAGAGAATGCAGAAACTGAGGTCTGAAACTGAGGATGTTTTTAAACCTTTCTGTCTAGGGCTGGTCTAACCAGCTCAAATATATTATTTCATTTAAACTTCCTAAAAACCCGAAGAGGTAGGTAACATTAGTAGCATTTTGTAGATAAGGAAATTAAGCTCACAGAATACTTACAACTTTAGAACACCCGTAGAATTGATAGTGTTTAGAATACAAAGTATTTGAAAAGAACAGAGCTAGATGAGATAATCAAGATTGTCTAGACAGTGATGTCAAATGAGTTGCATCTCATGCCTTAAATGTAATTTTTTTTTTGTTAAGGCTGAGCTATGGTTTGCATATTTGTCCCTTTCAAAACTCATGTTAAAATTAAATCTCCAGTGCGGTGGCATTAAGAGGTGGGACCTTTAAGAGGTGATAGAATCATGAGGACTCTGCTCTCATTAATGGGTTAATCCACTCATAGATTAATGGATGAGTGGGTTAATGGATTAATGGGTCATCATGGGAGGCCAACCAGTGGCTTTATTTATTTTTATAATGTGCTCTCTCAGGAAGAGAGATCTGAGTGAGCACATTAGCACGCTCAGTCCCCTCACTATGTGATGCCCAGTGCCACCTCAGGACCCTGCAGACAGTCCCTACCATCAAGAAAGTCCTCACCAGATGTAACTCCTCAATCTTGGACTTCTCAGCCCCAAACTATAATAAATAAATCCTTTTTCTGTATCATACATCAGCATCTCCTGGAAGGCTTTTACAGCATAGGCTGCTGAGCATCACCAACAGAATTTTCGATGCAGCACATCTGAGATGGGGCCTGAGAATTTGCAGGTTCCCAGATGAGGCCAATGCTACTGTCTGGATCCACCCTGTGAGGCTTCCTATTGGTAATTTTCTTGAGCATTGATCTGATTCCTTTTAAAATGAAATGAAATTATTCAAACATGCATTTAAAAAAATCATACAGACTTAGTTTTTAATGTCTGTCAACAGCAGAATATTTGTCAATAAGAAGTTCTGAAAATTTGCATCAAAAATTGTTTAATTAGTTCTTGCTTTGGCAGCACATATACTAAAATTGGAATGATCAGAGAAGATTAGCATGGCCCTGGTGCAAGGATGACATAGAAATTCATGAAGCATTCCCTGTTTTTTGGAACCTCTCTGTATTGTTGGTGGGAGCATAAGATGATGCAACCACTATGGAAAATAGTATGGAGGTTCCTCAAAAAATTAAAAATAGAATTATTATATGATCCAGCAATCTGCTTTTGGGACTATATCCAAAATAAAACGGGATCTTGAAGAGGTATTTGCATACCTATATTCATTATAGCATTCTTCACAATAATCAAGAGGTGGAAGTAAACTAAATGTTTGATGACAGGTAAATGGATGAAGAAATGTGGTATATACACACATGAAATATTACTCAATTTTTAGAAGGGAAATATGCTTTTTTTTTATTGTGTAGCACATGAATAAACCTCGAGGACATTATATTAAGTGAAATACACCAGCCACAGAAGAGACACATCACTGTGTGATTCCATTCATATAAAGTATCAAAAGTAGCCAAAATCATAAACACACAAAGTAGAATGGTGGTTTCCAGGGTTTGCAGGGAGAGGAAAACTAGAGTTGGTATTCAGTGCTTATAGAGTTTCAGTTTTATAAGATGAGAAGGTTCTAGAGATCTGTTGCAAAACTATATGAATATACTTAACACTACAGAACTATATACTTAAAAATGATGAAGAGGGTACATTTTATGCTGTGTATATTTTATCACAATTTTAAAGATTGTTTATGTAAGGATAACACCTTCCCTGTAGGGCATAACAATCGTTTGTTTTAAAGATGTCTGAAGAGAAGTGGAGAGGGGCTCTCTGTGTGGCCACTCTAATGGGAGCCAGGTACTTACACTAATTCCAGTCTTAGCAAGTCCCATGTTCTCTGTGGATCTTGCCTCTCCAAGGTCCTTCTTTAAAGCATGGGTACCAGGTCCAAGCCAAAGATTCTAACCTGGCCTGTGATGTGACCTGGGTAGTAAAGTTTTTTGAAAGCTCCTTAGAGCTTGAATTGTAGCCAGGACTATAGGTCATTTGTTGGATCTGTGATTTGTCACTTGTCAAAGGTTAAAAATGATCCTGAGGGTCTTGTCAAACTCCATATGCTGAAGTCTCCTCCATTCTCTTCCTCACTGTCCCAGGTAATTCTGATTACCACCGTCTCCTCTCCCTCAACTAATATGGGAAATATACCATTAGAAAGCCCTTTTCAGAGAAAATATGTTCATGAACCTCAGTTGCAGGAGCTTGAGTTCATTGTCAGCTGGGTTTGTACGTGATCAAGGTCCTTACTGAGATTGGTAAGACAGTCACAGTTTGGGCCAGGCATCCCCAAACTTATTACACGGGGGGCCAGTTCACTGTCCCTCAGACTGTTGGAGGGCCGCCACATACTGTGCTCCTCTCACTGACCACCAATGAAAGAGGTGCCCCTTTCTGAAGTGCGGCAGGGGGCCAGATAAATGGCCTCGGGGGGCCGCATGCGGCCCACAGGCTGTAGTTTGGGGACACCTGGTTTAGGCTGTACATGTACACATAGCCCACCTATCTTTTTTAATCCGCAGAGTTGGTCAAAGCTTATAGGTAAAATACAGCACTGGTGCTTAAAATCAAACTGCTGAATGATAACAAAGCTTCACTATTTTGTTTAGAAATTAAGTTTGACAGGCTATGAATAATTTAGAAGATGATCTGAAGAACAAAGGAATAAAATTTTGTTATAAGTTCAACATTTCTGTGGAGGTATTAAGCCCTGCCAAGGGTTATTTTCCTTGACTTCCTAAAAATCAGTGGTGTCAGAGGGAACTTGAAGAATCCTGGAGGATTGTAGCTGTAGTGTCAGAGTGTGCTTAGTATAAAATAATCCCAAGTGGAAACAATTTTCTACATATTTAGTCATTGTAAGCCAGTTTAGATACCCATGAGATCAGAAATTTGGCAGTACAGGAGACAGGGAACTTGCCAACTTAATGTTTAATATTAATTAAATTTAATATAAACCAGTTATATGTTTTTCAGATATTCCCAGGCAGAATGCCAGAGAAGGATAAATAAATCTATATTCATATTATACACAGTTAAATTATATCATCAAAATTTATTCTTAATTATACATTCACATTATATAATATATATTATTATATCTTCTAATTTTCTGAACATTTCTAGAATGACTGAAAAGGAGAAATGGATTACCAAATCAATACTTTTCATGAAATAGAAACATTTACTTGTGTACTGACACAAGTATTATTCATACAAGTACAAATTCTCTGTACATTATGAAGAAGGCTAAAATAACGTTACATGCCCTGCACAATAAACATTCTGGAGTGGGAGCAGTTAACGTTTCCCAGAATTTTGTGAGACAATATGGAGAAGGTGATTACTTAACTGTGTTTTAAAGCATTTCTAAGACTATCCAGCACCACCTGGAAACACCATTACTGAGCTGGTGCTACCTTGGAAAGGTATCCAGTAACACTTAGAGAGCAAAGGGAGGATAGCAATCTTGGTGGATAATCACTGCATCAAAAGCTTTGATGGCTTTCTCTTTAGGATGATAGTCACATCTTACATATGTAATAAAACTTTCATTGTTCCTTGGTCCTCTGGTACAAGCATGTGATATTTACAACAGGGTGAGAAGTCTCCAATTTCTACTGAGTATCCCAATTTCTGTTATAGTTGGTCTTTCTAATATTTAGATGATTAATAATTAATGAAATGTATAGAAAATTAAATTAGGCTTCTCAGCATTGGCTTTAACGTAGCAGAAACACTGGTTGTACATATGGGAGAGAATGAAAAAGTTGTGGCTACAGGGTCATAGAACCTAGGTCCATAATCCTTGTCATGTTCTAAACTCACCCCACAGACCTCAGATTTTGTTAGATTTAAGACAGGAGATAAATCTGTACTTCACAAGCCAGAATTGTTAATAAATTCGTGGCGAGTTTTGAAAATATGCAGATTCTCAAGAATGATTAGCCCATAATTTATGCATGAAGTAAGCCCTAGGAATGTGCATTTATAAAACTCATCCAGAAGAGATTGCTGCTTCCAATCAAGATAGAATAGCAGAAACTATGTTAACTCTCCTACAGAAACTAAAAACCAGACAAAACACATGACACAATGATTTTTAAAACATTAAGTATAAAACAGAAGGCAATAACTCCTGGGAGATACAAAACAAATGAGGTGAGCCCTGCAATTATTTCAGCTAACTGCTTTGAGAGAATTTCCAGGTTGTGTTGTTGGTGGGAGGGATCCAGACTGAGCCTGGTGGTCTCCGTGGACTGGAGAAATTGACTTGGGAATCCAAGGAAGCCAAAGTAACTAGAGTCACAGCGTGAAGTGCCAGAGAAGAGAAAGCAGTGCACAGAAAAGACTCTGAAAAACAGCAGAGTTCCCCCCTAGTCTTCATCTGAGTACTGGTCAGTTAGCTGCACACACGTAGAAAACTACACAATGACAAGAAAAAAAAAAAAAACAACATCAACTCTTGATTAAAGCTCTCAGCACACCAGAATAAAAAAGAAAGCACAGTCAACTTATTAAAAGATATTTATGACAATTTATAGCTAACATTAAACTTAAAATGGAAAAATTATGTTTCTTTAAAATCAGAACCAAGAAAGGATTATCTGCTCTCATCACTTCTATTCCATGTTGTACTGGACATTCTAACTAGTGCAATTAGACAAGAAAAAGAAAAAAAAATGCATCCAGATTGAAAATGGTGAAGTAAATTTGTCTTTACTTGCAGGTGACCTCATTTTCTAAGTAGATAATCCCATGGAGTTTATATAACAGTTATTTGAACTAATAATCAAGTTTAGCAAAGTTGCAAGATGGAAGATTAACATACAAAATTCAATTGTATTTAAATATCTTAGCAATAAATATTTAGAAATCAAAATAAACGTCATGATTAATAGCATATAAACATGAAATACTTAGGAGCAGCAGGTGAGAAAGGAGAATGTATAATCCAAGTATATAATAATTAATACTCTTAAACAAAATTTGAACAGCACTTTCTACTAACTCTGTAGATATTGGATGTTAGTGGTGAGTGGTGAGGATTAAATGAGATAGAAGCATGTTGTAGAAAATGAAGAACAAAATATCACACTTATATTAGGAATTTTGTAATGCTAGTAATGCTAGTAAAAAATACGTGGTTTTCAAGCACCCTCTGCCCCCAAGTCATGTTTTCTTTTAGAATCTGGGATAGTAGAAGCATTTCTTTTGGGAGAATAATGCAAGCTGTGCGATTTGTTCTATTTCCATTGCTGCTGTGGTTAGATAGATGCTCAGAACCAATTATGAATTATAGTCTTAGTAATTCTAAAATACCTATCAATTTTATAACTGAGGTATCTTTCCTTTGGTTCTAGTTTTTTGTTTCAATTAACTTTCTTATAAACTGTTGATAAAAACTCTGCAAAACTAAACACTATACAAAACACATGACACAATGATTTTTAAAACATTAACTATCAGACAACAGAAGGCAATAACTCCTGAGAGATGCAAAACAAATGAAGTGAGCCTATTTTTTATTGAGAAGAGAGAAATAAATAATGTATGTACGTACATTATAAATAATTATAATGATGTACGTATATGTATGTATATGTGTGTATATTTTATATATATATATGTACATAGAAAACCCTAGCTACATATTTATTCACACTCACTCAATAAACATATAGGAACTACTGAGGTAGATTTTATAGAATCCCTACCTGGATGGAAACTAGCCTCATTGTTGTACAATCACCCAGCATTTGTGAGTGGGTGTGTGTGTATGTGAGTCTATCTTGTGTTGTCTGTGTCTACCTTGATTCCATTGAATTTCATTCTTGAGGGACTTTGGGTTGAAAGAAAATCCGTCCTTTTTTGGCCAAGGAGGATGAGGCGTTAGTTAATTAAATTCCGCGTAGGCATTTTCCCTGATGCAATAATACTAAATCCAGGGATAAGTTGTCTTGGCAACTGCTTTGTTACTAACGTGCTTTTTAGGCTTGTGAATAAACATGTTTGAGAATGTAAATCGCCAGCTGAGGTTC